AAGCAACAAATAATAAATAATAAATAGTAAACAAAAGCAACAAATAATAAAAATAATAAACAACAAGCAACAAATAATAAATAATAAGTAGTAAACAACAAATAACAAATAATAAATAATAAATAGTAAACAACAAGCGACAAATAATAAATAATAAGTAGTAAACAACAAACAACAAATAACAAATAATAAATAGTAAACAACAAACAACAAATAATAAATAACAAACAGAAAACTCTTATCTTATCTAATAAACTCCGATATGATCAAATATTAACAAAGATGGCTACATCACGAAATACAAACACAATTTTTAAACAACTATTGATGGAAAAATGTTGTTGAAATAAAATCTTCACCCATTCTCTTCTCTTCATCTCTTCGGTCTGTGTGTGTGTATATATATATATACATATATGTGTGTGTGTATGTGTGTGTATGTGTGTGTACATGTGTATGTATGTGTACATACGTATACGTACGTACGTCATAAAAATCCTGTTTTATAAGATGATTGTTGAGCAATTCATTCATTAGTAACACCGTTATTAACATTTGCAGAGATAGAAGATGAATATTTTATTGTATACTTGATTAATTGTATATATACCTAAAATTTGAGCTAAAAGTAAAAAATAAAACAAAAAAAAAAGTAAGATAAAAATGAAAAAGAAAAAGATGAAAAAAGAGAAAGGAATAATACAATGGAAAGAGAAAAAAAAGAGAAGGAATAATATAATGGAAAGAGAAGAAAAAAAGGAAAAAAAAAGGATGAAAATACAAATAAAGAAAATTGAAAAGAAAAAAAAGATATAAAATTTTTTGTAAAATGATAATTTCATCGAAATTAAAATTTTTCATCTCAATTTTATCATTTTCTCCTTTTCTTCTCTTTCTCTCCCGTCTATTATTTTCACTTGCATTTCCTCAAATCTTTTCATCTTTTCTCGTCTGTTTTTCTCTCTCTCTCTCTCTCTTCCATTTTGATCGTTCCTTTTCATTTCGTTTTACTTTTTTTTAATTTTTATTTATTTTTTTTTTTGCATAAACATTTTTACCATTCATTAATCGATTATCTATGCAATTAATTAATTTAATTAATTAATTTAGAAGCATGAAGTAAATTGCAAATAAGTCACATAAATTTATTATAAATTTACAAATGATACAAAAAAAAAAGAAAACTACCGTACTTGCATTTAGAACATTTTATGATTTGTATATGAATTAGAATGAGAAATACTAACCTTGTTCCTTGTCTTTTTTTTTTAAATTTCTACTTTTTGCTTTTTTTTTCCAACTTTTTTTTCAGCCCTTTTAAAATTCATCAATTCTATTCATATTTTGTAGCAATCAAACGTAGCAACAATAACAATAAAAGACCAGTTTTAAAAATTGGAAATGAAATTACACTGAAATGAATTGAAATGAATTGGCAATGAGAAATTTCCCACAATCAAAAGTGATTATAACAAAATGGGACAAATGGAAGAAAATTCATTGAAAATATATTTATAATTTTCTATAAGTATAATATGTCTTTCATTCTTTTTTCTCTTCTTTCACTTCCTCTTCGATGGATAATATGTATATATATCACCGATTAATTTTATTTTCTTTTTCTTTCTTTTTTTTTTGTTTTTCAAAATTTATATTATCCATAGAATTTCTTTCTTTCTTTTTTTCATTGCTATTATTATTTGTTTTTATCAAAATTTTCAAATCTAAATTTTATCTAATCTAAATTTTTTAAATGTGAAAGAAGAAAAAGAACGAAAGATTTAAATCTTAAATTTTCAATTCTAAACTATAAAAAATTTTAATTCTAAATTTTTTGAATGTGAAAGAAGAAAAAGAACGAAAGATTTAAATCTAAAATTTTCAAATCCAAATTATAGAAAATTTAAATTTATTTATCCCCAAAAATTTTCTTTTTTTTTGCTTTCTTTTATTATTTCCTACTTTAATAGATATTATAAACAATTTATTAAAAGATAAGATTTTTTGTTTTTCGAAAAAAAAAGTTCAATTCTTATTTTTTAATTAAATTTTTTTTTTCTGTACAATCACTATAAATTATATTTTGTGATGTTTCTTTTTTTCTCTTTTTTCTTTTTTTTTTAAAGAAATTATTAAACTTTTCATATATATATATTGGATTAATTAAAAATTCAAAAATCATCAAAAAATTTATTGAATATTTGTCACATGATTAGCGATACTAATTGTCCTTTTTCTATCCTTCTAAGTTTTTTTTTTGCACTATTTTAAATTTATTGAATTAAAAGCTCTTCATTTTCTATTAAAAATTTATTGTTTCAGAAATTTTTTTCAAATTTTCTCACATTTTTCATTTTTAGGCTATTTTAAATTTATCAAATTGTTAATTTTTTTTTCATAATTTAAATCAAACTGATGAATGATTATAGGGCAATCACTTTAAAAATAGTTGAAGGAAGGAAAAAAGAAAAAAAAAATTCTTTTGGAATATTTCGATTTAAATTATCCTTTATGATATATTCGAATTGAATAATACAAAAAATGGTATTGGAAATGTTTAACAAATTCTAATAATTTATTTAATAACACTATAAAAGAAAGGATGACGAAAGCATTAATAATAAAACAAATACAAATACAAAAATTGAATTTAAAATTTGTCATATTTGTCCTTTCATAAATCGTGCAACGTTTTCTGAAAAGGAAAAAATGAACGACAAAATTCTTTTTTTTTTTTTTTTGTCAGGGATTTTGCTATCTATTAAAAAAAAAGTCCTCAATCAAGATGATTAATCGGAAAAGGATACGTTTGAAATTTAAAATGACAACTCTAAAATGTTCAATGACATTGACATTTACAGTTTGATATTGAAAAAGAGAAAGATTAAAAAAAAAAAAAGAAAAAAATGTATTAAACAGAAATTTATAACTTTCTTCAACAATTACAATTAATCATCTCAATAATATGTGGTTGATAAAAATTTTTTGTTCATTTCATTTGTAACCTAAAGTTTATAAGTAAAATAAGTAAAATAAATTAATTCAATTATAAGTAATAATAAGTCAATTATAATCAATTATAAGTAAAATAAATTAATTAGAAGTGAAATGAAAAATGTTAAAGGGAAAAGAAAAATCACGATCAGTTTAAAATTTGAAAAATTGTAAATCTTCTGGAAAATTCGAAAAATAATAAATTTTCCGGGAAAAATCATTTCTAGTTTAATTGCGATGATTTTTTCTATTTTAATCATATATTAA